GCCAGTGGCCAATGCCATCCCCCGCCTCTGCTGCCAGAACATTCTCTTCCAATTTTCTGCCCTGCGTCTGCCCAATAGCTGCCATCGACAGCTGGACAGTGTTGATGTGGCCAAGGCTTCACTCCCAGCACATTACCCTACCCCTTGTCACGCTCCCTCTCTTCCCAGTCCAAGCCGACATAAATTGATTGGATTAAATCCTGTCATTAACAGGCTGGAAAAGCAGCTCAGTATGTTTGTCTCCCTCCCCAGAGCAGGGCTTTTTGGCCACATCTCTCCCCTTCTCTTTTCCAGTCCTTCAGTTCTGCCAGTACACAACAGCATTATGCCCAGTCCTCCCTTCAGTTTTGGCTTTCCTTGCTAAGGGGGGCTAACATCACTGGACACTAGCTGTGGCTCAAGTGGCTAACTGTTTCACTGGTGGACTGTGTTCTGGTTATCATTATTTCCACGAGTAAGAATGGTTGTTTATATTACAAATGCCACCTGTCAGGTTAGTTTTCCAGTCTGTTTCAAGCACTACATTTTTAACCAGAGTTTATTGGACCAGTATACCGTAGGTTAGCTGAACACATTTGTTCTTCTTTTGGTAAATGCTTGACTTCATGCAGCATGTGACACATACACACATTTGTTCCTAGAAGCTGCCCACTGCAACTTCATGTCTCTTCTATTTGGCAGCTGATGTTTTGTGCTTTGCTCCAAGACAAAATCAGAGGTAGTTCATTAATGAGGGGAAATGATCACTGACTCAGTTCTAGATTTTCCATATGTGTAATCTCAAAACTGTACTCCATTTTCTCCGCCACTGTCTCCTCCACACAGCAACTTGGTACATGATATCAAGTAGGGCTGGGTGAAGAACAATACAGTAAAACTTTCAAACATCAGACTTTCTGCCATGCAGATTATACCATGGTAGCAATCCCTGTAATGTATTTGGTTAGTTGTTGTGGGCAGTGTTTTAAATTTAGGGCTAGGCTACTTTATTGGTGTGATGAAGAATTTTCTCATGTTTTAATATGCTTTATTAGGCAAAATACATATTCCTACCTCATACTTTTATTTAAAATTAATTTCCTTAAAATGTAATGCACTATTGATATTATGATATACAGTATAACATGAGGGGTATCTTTGATCTCACCCCACACCTAATGCTTCATTTTAATACAGTATATGGTATCACAGGCTACAATATGTACTATATACAGGAACTCACTTCCCTCAAAAAGGTCTCAAAGTATTACTAAGGCTTGAATTTGAATTATAGAGTTCTTGAAAAATTTCCTTGCCTGCCATAGATGGTAACATTAGTTATAACTTATTTTTGTATGTGGCTGTGGACTGCTGGGGGACTTTTAGAAACTACACATGGAATCAACCCATAGCAACAACACAGCCTCCCATATACTGTACACACTGATCCACTTTTGAGTGCAATCATTCATCACGGGCGGTAATGTTAGTATAAATAAATTCATATACTTCCTGTTGGTTTCCTTCATTCTTTAATTATGACAATGAAAATTAAAAACTGTGGTATTAAAGTTTTTTCAATATGGCACACACTGCAGAAACCCTGAATAAATATTTGTCAGTCAAGTCAGATTTAATTGGTATGTCTTGTATTTTATAGGAGTTGCTACAGAATGACACTTATAGAGAACTGATGAAGCTGAAGGCCAAGGAGGTGGAGAAGAAAGATCAGGCCCTACAAGCTAAGGAGTACCAGGAAGGTCTTGTGGCGACTCCTGCAAGGACTGTGGCCAAGGGCCATGCAGCTTCTACCAGCTTCGGCAGGCAGGAGATCAGCAAGGACCCCACCAACACTGCAAACACGTTCAAGCCCGGCTCCTGGATGCCTTCTAAGAAATAGAGATATCCACGTACACTGAGGCTGTTTTAAGACTTAATGCAATCCAAAAGAAAGCCCCTGCAACTGATATTCATTTTAGCTGGGACTTAAGATTTAATATTAAAAACACCACAAGTATTTATTTGAAGGCAATAGTGCTGAACTGCATTATAAAGGCATTTTTTACTTTTCTAGTCTCAGTGTATATTGTATGTATACAAGTTAATATTCATCACTCACCTTGAAGCCAACAAATTTAATGTAATTGAGAGGTCTGTTAATAAAGGAAAGAAAAATTACAATGTTCCTCTGGCTATTGATCACATAGACTACAAATGTACATTCTGTAGGAAATGTTAATATAACATGTAAATATGTTAATTCTAAACTCAGTTCAGCTCTGACCATAGTGCAGCGAAACTGTAGTGCTGGTGTTTCATGGAGGTGGGTCAGAAGTCAGAATCATGAATAATGGTACAGTATGTAGATCTCCAGTAAGTGGTCAGATTTAATGTTGGTCACAGAGTAGTTCAACAAATTTCTGCAGGGCAAACAGCTGCTAAAAGAGCAGCATAAACTAGGATCCTGTGGTTGAAGACATGGTCTCCATACTCGCATATGAGTTTCTAAATGCTGTCAAGAGAATATAAAACTTCATGAGGAAAAAAAAGGGGGGTGGGGTGTATACTGAAATGTGCATTTGTCCACCTGTCTGCATGTAGAATTATTAATTTTAACTGCTTCTTTACAGGCTCAGAAGTATTAAACAATTACAGTAACAGTAAAACAAATCCACCCCACTGGACCTTTGAATGTTTTATTATTCACTGAATCATAGTGAGTGTAGTTCAAGACTATCAAATTAAACACAAATCATTATAAGTAGATTTAAATTAAGAGCATGTTGTATTAAACTAACAATTTTTGCATAATGATTAAATCAGGCCCAATCAATCCTGGTTCTCTTCCTTCAAGATGATATAAAAAGAAAGTCACCTCGCCTTTGGCAGCAATGGTTTTTTATAGCCATTACATTTTTTTAATCCATCTTCTGACTGTTTGAATGTTCCTTTGTCTTCATACTGTTTTTTGCTTCTTTTTTTTTTTACTGACTAACCAAGAGTGGGACCCTGCAAATTCACTTGTCACATACTTACTATACACAGGTATCTTTATGTAACTTCTAAAGACAACAGGCTGCCCCAGATTTGTGTTTAATTTTGCTTAATATATCAGGATTTGTTTTACTTTTGACATTAAAATACATTTAGCAGATCAATACATTAAAGTCCTATTACATGCACTCTGGTTTATTGTTGCAATACAATAACACATGAAGGTGTGAATACTTTATGTGCAATGAATTAAAAGCATTTGTGATACTATTAAATTCACATAGAGGAAATTGGATTTTCTTATCAACCATGAAAACTTTATTGATTAGAAAATAATGATTTGGACATTTTGCAAGTGACTTGAAATAAAGTTCCAGTTTGCTCATTATATCATCAATTCAGGAGAACAGGGATGCCAACAATGGAATGCGAGGTGTTGCAACAGCTGCACAATATTAACAGTGGATCTCTGTATAAAGACATCATAAAGATGACCACTGTGCCCTTGCTGACAAAAGTCCCACTGGGACGTGCTTCCTATGGGCAGTACTGACCTTCTCAGCACTGTTAGGCCTGTGGGGCCAGCGTCTCTCCTCCTACCCCGGACATGACGCACATTGGCCCTGTGTGACAATAGGCCTGGGACAAGGAAGGGCACTGTGTCATTATTTGGAATAGGGAGGACTGTAAGCGTGGAGTTTGCTCCTCCTTCTTTATGCCCTCATCCTACCCTTCTCACAGGCTCAGTCCTTCTTGGTCCTCTTGGCCTTGGCTATGTTTTCCTGACGTTTCTGCTTTTTCTTTTGTTCTCGATCACGTGCCTCAATCATCTTGGCCAGTTTCCAGGACAGCAGTGCGCTGACAATGAAGAGAGGTGTGAGAGCCAGTATGACAGTGGTGAGGAAACCGTAAGGGTCTTTGGCAGCCCACTCCACCACATACTCTGCCCATGCCCGAACATCAATCATCCTGGCCAGCAATGAAGAGGCTGAATCAAAACAGAGAAAGAGTGCCAGGAGAGAATGCAGTGAATAGCCAGAGCTGTTAGATATGAAAAATGTATACAACCTTTCTACCTTATATGCTACTTGAAAAGTTACTTTCTCACACTGATGCAAGAAAAAAAAAGCATTTCCATAAAACAACCCTGCTCACTTCCTGGCAACATTGCTAACAATGACCTTATACATCCAGAGATGAAAACATCAGCATTATTAGAAATATTAGCAGCCTATTACAATATATATTACAATACTGAGTAAACCGTATGGCAAAATCTCTACCAGCTGACAAACTGATGTAATGTCCATACACACACACATACATATAAATAAGTCCAATCAAAACTGATATTCACAAGAACCTCTGTTTTGGGTCAAACTATTTATTACATTCTTTCAGTTTGTGCTCATTACTTTGGACTGAACTGAAATAAGGAATACGGATGCAGCAGTCGATTAACTGATTGCCAGAAAATTTAAACAATCTGTCAAAACAAATGGATGATACACAGCAATTATCTGAATTGTAACATGTCCAGTGAATATAGTCTCACAAAAGGTACAGACAGCCATATAACTGTATCGTTACTTGGTTAATTACAAATTAATTTAGCTGAATCTAACACAGACAGCTTACATAAACATTACATTTTGCAGTAATGCTTGGGTAATTTTGCTCACTCATAACTGTTTTGACAAGTATCGAGTAATCGATATGCTGAAAAAAACCTTAGAAAACTTAGTAATCGATATGGTTTAACGAGGCACTTCATGCGAGTGATTTTACATCCTGTTAAGCACTCACTCCAACCAGTCCCCCATGAAACGACTAACAGCTAAGAATAACCACTAGCTAACCAGCGCCAACACGCGTAGCAGCTAGCATATATTAGCTGTGGTATGCCGTATTCAGCGGCATACCTGCTACAGAGCACTTACTCTTGCTACAGCCACAAGCTAAACTAACACTTTCATTTTGTCTGCCGTTAGGATCAGATATGAAATTCAATTATGTCGTTCAAAGCCTTGCATTTTGACTTACATTAGCACCGCTAGCTAACCCGCCGCCCCTGCATAACGGTCTAACTTTAACATGAAAGAGCACTAGCTAACTCTCGGTTAAACGGTATAACAACAATGAACGTGACCAAACAACGAAACAACATTTATATAATGGTTAGTACATACAAAACATACCAAAGTACAATGGTTTGTGTGTTTTATCCACGAAAATAAAGTCCAGCTCCACCCTGCTCCAGGAAGTAAAACTGGTGTACTGTAGTCGTAAACAACTGCTCGCTAGTGATTGGATATGAGGCTTTTCTCAAGATGGGAAATGTAGTCCTTTAGCCTTACAAATGGCCTGATAACCTATCAAAATACGGGCTCCTGCTACACCGGAAGTACTCAAATTCGCATTAAAGCACACAAACTCTCTACTTAGGTAAGACTGGAACGACTATAGAAACATGAATTCCAGTGTGTTTGACATATCATGATAATAGTAGGAAAACAGACCTGTGACCAGATAGTTGTTGGTCTCTGTAAAAGTTTTTCCTGCCTGTCAACATAAAGTCAGGGTTCAACAGAGAACAATAGTGTACCACGAATACCATGTCTGCTGGACTATGGTTAGAGTTAGATTGCTGATACAGATCACCAATACAAACTCATAACAAAATCCAGTGTATTGGATAAAGAATTTGGTGACAACTAGTTGTTGCTGGAACTTCTGATCATGAGTGGAACTGTTGTGTGTGAAGACATAAGCAAACAATAAGGCAATAAGTGTGCAAAAAAAAAAGCTTCACTGGCTTTCTGAGAAAGAGGACTAACATAACAAAGGAGGACCTGCTGGCTTTGCAAACTTCCTGTGGGGAAGTATTGAAACCAAATCAGGTTAGGCCACATCTGCTCTGTCCATACGGCATGGATCACTTTCAGAGCAGTTCAAAGGCCAGCCTTTTAGTCCTACTCAAAGAGGAAGGAGAGGGGCAGCTGGGAACACACAGAATACAGACACATTGCAAACACATTCTGGTTTACCAGCATAGTTTTGGCCAAGTTATCTTAGAAAAACATCCTAAGTCTGGTGGGGTGTTTTTTTCTTTTTTGGTCATATGCTTATAATTATTAGCTTCAGCTACATGTCAAGTGGCGAGAATCCAGGGGGTGGGCAATGCAGGACACCCCGTAGCCCCTCCTATATGCGTCTTTTTCATGACACAGCTATGGAACTAACATTATCAACATACAGCACAGGGAGGGGGAACCAGCTCCAGTGGTACAGTATGTGTCATAATGGTTACAAAAAAAACACTAGTCTGAACAGATCTTGAGGAATTTCCAATATCTTTTGATTTTGCTTTTTCTGAAAGTTGGTAGACTCAACTACTGGACAGTAAAAGAGCAGAAAGCTGGATGAGACAGAGAACTCTCAGAGGGTGTCTTCAGCAATTTAGTGTTGCATTTGCATGAAGCTGGGAGACTCCCAAGAAACTAAAAACAGAATGGTTGAACTTGATAGATCAGAGCCCCAGATTTAAGCATCTCATCAAGCTCCAAAAGCACTGGTCTGTATCTCACACATTAGATAATGCAACTTGATAGAATTGTAGAGCCTTATGTCCTGGTAAATGCCTACATTTTTCAAATTCTATATCCCCAGTTGGTAAGTGACTTTCTATATAAAATTTGAACGTCCCAATCTAAGCTAAATGATCATGTCTTCAAGGTTATTTTCTCAGACTTTAGAGAGGTGCCTCCCAAATCACAGAAGATATCAAACAATTGTTTTCTCAGAGTCAATATTCCCTCTGTGCATGGCCAGATTAGCCTTCTATGGGGCCCCTGGGGCAAAGATTTGTCCTTGGGCCCCTGTTGACCCCTGTTGTAGATTGTACCCAGAAACCAACCAGTTATCTAGTGCTGAAATGATTAAAAGATTGACTAATTAGTCATCTGAGAAAATTAATTGACAGTAATTCTGATTAATCATTGAAGTCATTTTAAAGCTTTTATTTTATACATCACTTATTAAAGGAAATAACTGTCAGAACCATTCATAATAAAAGTATTTATTTTTTACAGCTTTACAAATCTGGTGTGACAGAATAATACAAATTTGAGCAATATGATATGAGCAATATCATAAAACACAACAACAGTTGGCTAAAATATTAAGTAAACTACTCAGGACTTAAATCTAGATTTTGAATCCCACTTAAAAAAACAGGCTAAGATGGAAGGCCCATTATATTTGATATTGTACTTCAGTGGTGGAAATTTCTAACAAATTACTGAATAAAACAATCAAATTGTGTGGACAAATATATGGAGCCCCTGCATGTTTGGCAAGTTACCTGGAGCCTTGCCCCTTTGACAATCCCACTGTCCTCATGTGTAAAATCTGTGCAACAACCCCTTTAAAATAAAAAATAAATATTCAGTGTGTGCGTGTGTGCCCGGGACCTGGTATTATTCATGTTGTGCGTACATAAATTATTTTTATCCAGTCACATTGTGGGGACTCGACATCTTTATGCTCACAAAAAGTCCCCAAAATGTGAATCATTACATTTTAGAGTGATGACATGGTTTAAGGTTTTAGTAAGGTTAGGCTTAGGTTAAGGATAGGATAAGGTTTGGGGTTAGGCAGACCGAGTAAGGAAATGAATTTAAGTTAATGTCTCCTGAAGTGATGGAAACACAACATGTGTGCCTGTGTAAGTCAAGTCAAGTCAAGAATCAAGAATGTAAGAGCGAGAGAGAAAACTTATCTTGAAAAAAACTTGTCCTGACTAAGCCTGTACCAAACAGCTAACCAAAATGACCGATTAGTACAGCGGACAAGCATGTCCAGCTTCATATCTTCATGTTCCTCCTCCCACGCCCTTTCTGCCTTTGACAGCTGAGACTCCTTTGGACTAAAGCCTCGAAAACAACCATCACGTTGTTATTGCAAGAAGCTAGAGCCTGGGGTGGTAGTACGGGCTCCAAAGGGGGGAAAAAGTCGGTTTTCTTGCCCCCTTTTGCTCCTGTGGGAAACTGCGAGACCGCCCCTGGATTAAGTCCCCGCCTTTAAACTCAAATAAGAAGGAAACTTCAAAGGCCGTCAGGCCGCCGGGGCTCCGCCCTCGCGCTCCCGGACGGCTTCACAAAGGATTTGCCGACGTTCGGGAATTCCGCCTCCAGTTCCTTTTATAGCGCCACTCGTGCGCTGGCAGTGCTCCAGAATCCCGCCCATCACGGTTACTTTGACAACACAAAGGACTTCACGGAACTCGCAGGCACCGCCTATCTTTCCAAATAAGGGCAGTCTCTCCATGTACGGCAAACAATCGGTGCGAGATTGCCCTTTTCTCTTCCTTATCCCGTTTATATGATCGGAGAGGAACTGCGCTTCAGGTTGGAAGCGGTGCGATCATGGCCGAGCGAGTCCAGCAGCCCCCAGCCAAGCGGCTCTGCTGCCGGCCCGGCTACAACCCGGCATGCAGACAGGGGCAGCGGGCTGGTGGAGTCCTGTGTGGCGCAGGGTCCGCTCCGGGAGGGTCGGGGAATGGAAAAATGCACAACCCCGAGTCGTTGCTCGACATCGCCGCACGCAGAGTCGCGGAGAAGTGGCCGTTCCAGAGGGTGGAGGAGCGGTTCGAGAGGATCCCGGAGCCCGTCCAGCGGAGGATCGTATACTGGTCATTTCCGAGAAGCGAGAAGGAGATCTGCATGTATTCCTCTTTCAACGCCGGAGGCGAGGAAAGTGGAACTAGCGGGGACAATAATGACGAGACCCAGCTGCCTTTCCTACGGGGTGTCACTCTGCTAGAGGGTGGCTGGGTGGACAACGTATTGCAAGTCGGTGAGTGGACTATAACGTTACAATAATGCAGGAAAACAACCCTTAATAAACAAAACATCTAACTCGTAGTTTTTGCCTTTGTCCATGGAACAATGCCAGACTTTTAAAGGGCTTGTGTTTCCATAGCCTTGTCTATAATAAACAATGCAGGGTATTTCCACACCACTCTGCCCTATAGCTGTGTGAGAATAGCCTATTTTCAGATAAGCCCGTAACAGTAGCCCACTTCTCCTTGTTTTTGCCCATTGGACTGCGCGCATTGAATTGCCCACAGCCATCCCAATTGGAAGCTTAGCACTTTGTGCCTATTTTTGTGTCTTTCCAGCTCTCCATGCCCCCACCAATGGGTGCGCAGACAAAAGCCCCCTATATCTTTTCACCGCTGGCTAAATAGACGATATTTAGAAAGGGTGGGAGGGACGGTGATTTAAAGCCACAGTGCTTCTATTTTGTTTGCCAAACACCGTTGTGAGACAGACAGATGCTTTTCTGTTGCTTCCCAATATTCACTTAAAGCCTAAGCTATGTGCAGCTGGTGAAGGTAAAGGTGTATTTTCTTTCTCTCCGCTGCATTATTTGTGTTAAAGCTCGGAATAAACAGAGGCGTTGTAGGCTCAGCAACCCCCTGCCTGGCTGGCTGCCTTTTCCAGAGCCACAATATTTCACTGCATTTGCCAGTGCAATAGACTCAGCTGTCAATCCGACTCCCCACCCTTGGAAACGGTTCAGGATTCTAATCCCATTACCCTACCCAGTTTATCTGAATCTTAATGCATTCTGAAAAAAGATTTTATGCATGATCTTTCTCCAACCTCCCTCACCCTGTCTGTCTCTCTCCCTTGCTCCTTCTCTCTCACTTCTTGGCTTACTGTCCCTCCAAAGAATCTGTGTGGAGATGGCTTCGGCTCTTGTGGGCTCAGAGAATGTGCAGTGCACAATAGTAGCCATGGAGCAGACAGACAGGCAGCTCTCCCTCCCTCTCTGGCCTGTTTACCAGATTCCCCAGCATTAGGCGCATTTATGTGCTCACTCTTTTGGGGCTCTAGGAAGCTTAGCACTCAGCTTGGGGTAAAATAGAAAGTGTGAGGAGATGTGTGTGTGCTCTGGAGAAAGTCCGCAATTGTGATAAAGAGGGTAATTTTCTGTGGCCATGCATGATTTTTGTGTGTGAAGGAGAGAGAGAGGAGAGTATGTGTGTCACTGTGTGTGTGTGTGTGTGTTTGTAGAGTGGTTTGACAAACACAGAGGGGGACTGTGCATGTGTGTGTGCGTCTTCTGCACGGGCTGTCAGTCTCATCCTGCATGCTCACAGAGAGTGGAGGATGACAGGCG